ACAATAACACTGGCCATGCAGTCCGGGACGCTGGTTCCCGCCGCCAGGAAGGTGATGCCCATGATGACATCAGGGATGCCGAGCGTGAACCCGATCACCGTCACCTGGTACCACACACACTTCACTTCAGAACCTCAGAACCAGAACTTCCACAGGTTTTGATGRTAACTCATAAATCATCCAATCACAGGAACTTTTGTTTCATAACTCAGTTTTCCAGCAGCGCTCCGTGAAGAAAAGTGCCGACTCACCATCCAGACCATGACGTAGGAGAGAGCGGCGATCCAGACGGTGGCTGTGAAGAAGGTGACCATGAACCACCGCTCCCACCGCCGGTCAGCGCAGTTAGGAACGGTGAGGAAGAGCAGCAGAGACAGAGGCCACATGATCAACCACTTCACTTTGTTCCAGACGCCTCCTGAGGACGAGAAGACAACAATCCTGAGAAAACGACAATCCGTGCCCCGCCTTTCTCCGGGTCGTACCTGGAACTTTGAACGGCAGCAGAGGTCCCGTCTTCTCCTCGGCTTCCTCGTTGTTCTCGTTTTCAGTCTCGTCTTCTGACTCCAGCCTCTGCAGGCCTCTCATCCCCTTCAGGACCTGCTCMGCCCCGCCCACCCCGTTCTCCAAGCCCCGCCTGCCCTGCACCCGGGCCACAGAGTCCGAGTCTCCATTGGGGACGCAGTTGACCCGGGTCTCTGTGGTGTTGATCAGTCTCTGTCTCTGGAACATTACCACAGAGACCACGGTTATTATAGTTCACTAAACTAAATAAAAACTGTAATAAAATTAAAAAAAAAAAACAATAACTAACTAAAACTGTATAATCTTTTTACAAAACTAACTAAAAAGAACTGGAATGATTGACCTCACCTCGTTGATGAGCAGGCGGGACGCCATGGCGAGGCGGGTTCTGGGGGAGAAGTGACTGGTGATCATGACCCTCATGCCGGCCTCAGAGAAGGTCAGCTGGTGGGGGTACGCCGACAGCAGCTCGTCCACCATCAGCACCGACGGAGTCCGGTGGAGGTCAGCTGAAGGACAACACAGGAATGAGATAAAGAACAGGATGTCTCTCTGTTTGTCCTCATGTCTCTGTTTGTCCTCATGTCTCTGTTTGTCCTCATGTCTCTCTGTTTGTCCTCATGTCTCTGTTTGTCCTCATGTCTCTCTGTTTGTCCTCATGTCTCTGTTTGTCCTCATGTCTCTCTGTTTGTCCTCATGTCTCTCTGTTTGTCCTCATGTCTCTGTTAGTCCTCATGTCTGTTTGTCCTCATGTCTCTGTTTGTCCTCATGTCTCTGCTTGTCCTCATGTCTCTGCTTGTCCTCATGTCTCTGTTTATTAAACCTTCTCTCTGAGCGACGTGCAGCAGGAAGGAGGGAGGAACTTCCTGCGACACGACTGCAACATGTAACTTTTCTACAGCAGGAGGGTGGGGACATTTTGAAGATTTATTCTCTCTTTACGTGTTTTAAAACACCATATTTCTTCATTTATTTTCAGATGATTTTGAATAAATGGCCCTGTAAAAAAAAATAAAAGAAATTGCTTGCCTGCCCAGTCGGGCAGGCATTGGGACACACCCACCTGACCGACAATGGGTTTTACCTGCCCCGGGTAGTCGGGCAATAGGATTTATTGAACCCTGATCTCTGTCCTTGGGTATCATGTCAGGATGGGAACAGCTGAGTCTGTCTCATGTTAAAGAACATTCAGGTGATGAAACGTCTTTAAAAGACACAACCCGTCTCAGGATCCGTCTCCTCTGGTACCTTTCTTCAGCAGGACCACGGTGACGTCACATGAGACGTTATCGTCCAGCTCTGTACTTCCTGTCAGCCCGTCCCTCAGGTTCACTGAGTTCTTTGGTCGTCGGCTGAAGTAACGCTGAGCTCGGCTGTTCAACCTGACCAACAGAACGAGACGATATTTTACTGACAGAACCCATGAGTCCAGAGTTCCCGCAGTGGTTTTAGAGACTCACTTCATGATGAGGATATAAACGGCATACATGAGGATCAGGACCAGAGACTCCCACCTGCAGAGACCAGGTACAATTTTATTAAGTCCTCATAAAAAGAATTAAATCTTTAAACCTTTAAATCAGTGGAAGTGTACGAACCAGCAGACCTCCTCATCGTAGATGAACTGAACGGAGAAAAAATAAAAATAAATTCAATAAAATCGGTTTGATTGAATTAAATCCTCCTGCGTCGGACCAGAGGGTCAACMGAAAACAGTTCTCACCACGATGAGYGCCGTGATGGACAGAGTGTAGAAGACAGAATCTCTGAGGAGAGCCCAGTGGGACAGCTGCACCGCCTGAAACACACAGAACCTCCTGATCRGACCAGAACTGAACCAAACCAGACCTTTGAGTTTTTATTTTATTTAAAAGTTTTGGTTAAAAATGAAAAACTAGACACTTTTAAACATTGTCAGATTTGAAGAGTAAACTCTGAAGAAACACATCTGTGAACTCTGACATGTCGTACAGGTGAGTCTGCAGGTCTCAGGGTCTGAGGTCTGCAGGTCTGAGGGTCTCAGGGTCTGTAGGTCTGAGGGTCTCAGGGTCTGAGGGTCTCAGGGTTTGAGGACTGAGGCTCTCAGGGTCTGAGGGTCTGCAGGTCTGAGGGTCTCAGGGTCTGAGGGTCTGAGGGTCTCAGGGTCTGAGGGTCTCAGGGTTTGAGGGTCTCAGGGTCTCAGGGTCTGGGGTCTGTAGATCTGAGGGTCTCAGGGTCTGAGGGTCTCAGGATCTGGGGTCTGTAGGTCTGAGGGTCTGAGGGTCTCAGGGTCTGTGGGTCTCAGGGTTTGAGGATGGAGGCTCTCAGGGTCTGAGGGTCTCAGGGTCTGGGGTCTGCAGGTCTGAGGGTCTCATGGTCTGAGGACTGAGGCTCTCAGGGTCTGAGGGTCTCAGGGTCTGACGGTCTCAGGGTTTGAGGACTGAGGCTCTCAGGGTCTGAGGGTCTCAGGGTCTGAGGTCTGTAGGTCTGAGGGTCTCAGGGTCT